CTACTGCTGCCCAGCGCTCTCCCTCGGAACAGGTCCAGAATCTCGGAGAACATTCGGTGGGTGACAACCGAAGCACCCAGCGAGAGCCGCTGACCCCTTGGGCCCCTCTCCAGACAACGTCCACAGCTCGCAGCAACCCACTTCCCCTCGCAATCGATTGCAAACAAAACAACCACCGCTCAGCCACACCACAGCCGAAGCAACAGAGTCACAGCGAAGCAGAGCATCCAGACGGGGACACGCTCGCTCACCAGCCCCGCTGGAATAACCAGCAGCTGAGCCGCTTCCTCCAGACATGCTCCCTTCCATCCAGCGCAAATTGGCACCACAATGTCTGCAGTTGGGCGATGGGGACCCATTTTGTTGCAGTTCCTCATGGCGCACTGTTTTTTCTGACTGTTTATTCATGCGCTTATAGCATGGTTTTTGTTCTGCATTCATACACACACACACACGCATACACACACACATACACACACACACACATATACATACACATACGCAGACAATCCCATGACAATTTACGTTTCCATGCGTTTTTTGCAGCTATGCAATGCAAAAACGCATATTGGCGAGGGGTTGTCTGTCACGCACTTTCATCTCAAGACCTATAAAAACTGCGGGGCTGAAATTTCGGGAAATTAATCTACATGCACGTGTCAGCCCCAACCCCCAAAATGGGCGCCAACGCCCGTGTGGGACCCGCGTACGGGCTCGCCAAAATTTTTTCGGGTAAGTTCATAACTCGGGGATCTGAGAAGTTAGAACACTGAAATCTTGGGGCAATGTTCCCCGTCCAAGTGGGTGATAGTGCACTGAAACCCATCCTCCGGGTAAGCGTGGTACCCGCGTACGGGCCCGCCAAAATTTTTTTCCGATAAATTCATAACTCGGGGACCTGAGAAGCTAGAATGCTGAAATCTTAGGAGGATGTTTCCCATTTAAGTAGGTATTAACGAGTTCAAACCCTGCTCGCGGGTAAGCGTGGCACCTGCATACGGGCTCTTGAAAGTTTTTTCCGGGTAAGTCGCAAACTCGGGAAAGTGAGAAGCTAGAAGACTGGGATTTTGAAGAGATGTTTCCTGATAGTTCTGGCGGCCAGTCTGAAATTCTTTTAGCTAGAAGCATCTGCCAGAAAAACCAGTGCCGTTAGCGATAAAATACAAAAAACGCATCTTCGCATGGGCAGCCCGTGCGTTGGCCAATTATTGTGCTCTTGTTATACGGCGCAAAACGCATGATAAATACAAGTGAACCTTTTTATGCACTTTACAACTGCAAGAACAACCCATATTATAAACGCATGTACAAGCATGAATAAATGCAATCGAGGATATATCTGTGAGGGAGATGGATGCCATAGCAAACACTGAGGAACACAGACGGGCCATGCATCCGGATTGTCCGGATTTCAAGCAAAGACATCAGACAACGGAGCACAATGTACAAACACAGCTACTGGAACATACCGCTCTCCTGAGGAAACAACATACATCAACCTGCCAACATTATCGAAAATGCAAGAAAAAAAAAGAATCAGTTTAACCTATTTAAACCAGATACAAAGCAATAAGAGAAACAGAAGAGAGAAGGGGAAGGAAGGGAATTTCGTGCAGCCTTCGGCACATGGCACTTAGGACCAGTCCTCCCGTTCTACTATTAGG